GCTCATGTCATGCCAACAGGGTTAGCTTGGGGTCACTTGTGATCCTAGGTCACGTGTCCACTTCTCGGGGGTAGCTCGGGGAGTGACAATTAACCATGTATTTAGATAAAGTACATTATAACAATTGTGATGGTTAAAAATCTAAGTGGGAGATTGTTGGGATATATACTATTAACCATATGTTAAGATATAATATTTATTATAGAATAAATATTTATTCAATTTTAATAGATCATATATTCATTTATGGTGTCTGTTTACTTATATAGTAGATGATTTAGTGTGTAGAGTTTTAGCTTATACACAAAGTATTAAATCATCGGTTCTTATAAGTATAAAGTTGTTTGTTCATAATTTAGGATGGAAATTGGACATGTCATCGATACGATTGTAGCACAAGATTATATGTAATTTATCTTGATTATGGGAATAGTATAGTTTCAACTTCTTGTGCTAGTGCATTTTGTATGTATTGAACTGGACTGAGTAGAAATAGTTATTTTATACTAGCTGACAAAGACATATTCTCTAAACTATTAAATGTACTTATATTCTTAATCCTGATATAACTTTTATGATCTGTATATATTATTTATCGTTTTGATTTATTAAAAGTTGAGATTCTGAGATGGGTCAATATGCCTGGTAGATTGGATGGATAAATAATAGATATTGGTGAAATAATAAGTTAGTTGATGGAATCCATATCTCGTTATAGAGATTGATTGATATGCCTCTTTGAGAAACTTATAAGTTTTCATCGTGTCAAACCTTGCAAGTGGATTTATAAAATCTGACACATGAAATAAGTTAAGTAGTGCTCTAAAGAAAATTAATCGTTGAATTAAATTCGTCGGTAATTTAATTTATTGATTAGTATCTATAATCTTAACATGGAGAATTACATAAGTGTTTAATGGGAAATTACGAAATATAAATACAGAAGTGCAATTACGAATTTCTAGTGAAATGATTTGTAATTTATTATGGTAAGAATAATTCAAATTAATTATTTGGAATTATTTCCATAGGAAGCCTCAGTATTAATTATGTGGTCCCTCCAGTGCCCATATTTAACTAGAACTCATAATCTTATTTCTAAGGAAAAAGGAAGAAGTAACGTTGATTCTTGTTTTTTCAAGAATAATGCAGGTTTTCTTGTTTTAAAGAAAAACGTGGGTTTTTCTCCTTATTGGATTGGGAAGAAATCTCTATAAGTAGGGATTCTTCTAACCTAGAAAAAGAGGAAGGTTTCTATTCATGCTTGCCCACCCAAGTATTGAGAGAGTTCGGATGTGAACTTGGGATCACTGTAGAAGACCATAGTTGTTGTCTATCCTGTAGATTCGCTTGAAGGTCTGTCTAATTTGGGGATTCGCTTGAAGGTATCTGCTAACGCTTCAAGAGGTATTTATCGAATTAAATTTCAGCAAGTTTATGTGTTCTCGCATGATTATGTGATCTAGAATAAACGGTATAGGTTATCTATTATTTATGAAAGAAGTATGATTCTGATATGCTTCCGCTGTGGATATAGTTTTTCAACAATTGGTATCAGAGCTATGCTTATATCTAAATAGATAACCTAAAATTACATATGTGTGATTATGTATAGTCACCCTATTTTTTTTTCCGGAATTCGTTTTAACGTTTGGAAAATATGATAGAAATTCAAATTGAAGACAAAGAATGAGTGCTACATGAGAATAATTTTCTCCTGTCTAAGGGTTTGTTGCCGTGAAAATCTTCTAAACCTGATTAGTTAAAGCATTCTTTGTTTTTTGAGTTTTTTGGTAATTAAAATAAAAGGTTAAAAAAAAACAAAAGGGAAATTTTTTCATCCTATTATGGTGTTTGGTGAAGGTGACGGCACCTGGCAACATGCATAAACAAGGTTGTTTCTCTTATGGTTTTGTTGCTTGTTTTATTTTATTGTGGTTCATTGAAATTATCAATTCTTCTGATTGTAAAGTATGATGCACCATTAAGCGACAATAGGAACTGGCTTGATTTTGTTCTAAAGAGTATAATATGAGCATTGAGAAAGTTTATCTCACGGTGTATTACAATGTATTGATAAGAGTTTGTGATTCACAAATACTTACTGCGAGAGTGGTAAATAAATTTGGATCAATTAAATTTCTTAAAAGTTTTGTGATGTGATATTAATATATGAAATTATGAATTGAGAATTATGATTAATAAATAGGATTTATGTGAGTGGTCTATTTATTTGAGTTATTAGAATATTCTCAATGTATCATGTATAAATTGTCCTAAGTGAATATTAGTGGTGAATTTTTTTTCTCTGAAGAAAATTTACCTTTAGATACTAGTAACACTTAATTAATTCATGAGAAGAGATATTAAAGGTTTACACCGATATGAAAAGTAGAAACATAATATCTTGAATTCTTAGATGTATTAATCAAAGGGACAATTTGATAAGAAGGTGTTGTGTGTCTTCGACAAAGGAAGGGCACAACGTATACCTTTTGCTCATGAGATAATTATAAAAAGAGAATCAAAATTTGAATCAAGTTATTTTAATCTTTAACTATGCCTGAAACGATTACTTTTTCAAGTTTGGTCATAGTTAAGGTGGTCATGAATTTTATGATATCTGATTGACTTGAAATTTGATGGTTCCAACGAAAATCGTTTAAATGGGTTTAGGTAGTTTGTCGGATTAAAATTTGATTTTAATATGATAAGATCATTCTTTATGTTAATTATGTTTATGTTAAATTTGGAACATGATTACACAAGGTTATTTAACATGAATTGATATGTGATAAGAATGTATGTCATATTGTTTTTAATACCTAAAGATACTTAAATTACTTGAATTTGAATTTGGTCATAACTTTGGAAATAAAGATTCTTTATAGACTCCAATTGACTTGAAATTTGGTAAGTTCATTGATAACGACCTAGTAAGAAGTACTCATTCTTATGTGGTTATGATTCTTTGAGGTCGTTAAAATGATTTTAAAGTTGTTCATTGGAATTAAAATGTGATTTAGTATGAATGACATCCTTTTTATTGATTTTATTTATGTTATATGTGGTACATGATTACACGTGATAAGTTAACATAAATTGATATATGATAAGGATGTAGATCTGATTATTTTTCCTCAAATCGTTTGAATCTGAATTTGATCATAACTTTGGAGATAAATATTATTTTTGAACTCTGGTTGATGTGAAATTCAGTAGGTTCATCAGAAACGATCAAATTTTAAATACTCATTGTTATGAAGTGATTTGACAATTTGAGGTCGTTTAGATAATGGTTTTAAATACTCTGTCTAATTTGGGGATTCGCTTGAAGGTATCTGCTCATGCTTCAAGAGGTATTTATCGAATTAAATTTCAGCAAGTTTATGTGTTCTAGCATAAACGGTATAAGTTATCTATTATTCATATAAGCAGTATGATTCTGATATGCTTTCGGTGTGCATATATAATTTTCCAATAAATATTACTGTAGGAAATTAAAGCATTTTAGATCATTCATTAAGAGAAGAATTTACGAAGAAGAAAATTTCATACTTTGAATCCTTTATCATATTTTTATACTATGAAAAATACTTCTTTTTTTTACCATAATGTCAATACTAAAAAAAATAGGCTCTAACATGCGAACTGGGAGAAAATGTTTTTGTTTATAAAATTAATTTTCGCACTTAAATTTACATATTATTAATTTATAGTTAGCTAATCAAAACATGCTCTATGTATGATTTTGAAGCTGAATGATCATATATTAATTGATCTGCACTTCATCCTGCCACTTCATCCTGCCTGATCGATCTTTCACTAGCCAGGATTAAGAGAAAACTTATAAGTAGATAATTACATAAGTAAATTCATTTAATTATAATAAAATAGTGTTACACTCGAATGCGATAGGCGATGTGGGAAAATTATTTAATATCTTGGCTACTATATAAATTCTTATAGTTGACATTGTTGACAAATTTTACGTGTACCATTTTTCTTATTAAAAATCAAGATCAAAATTTTAATTATTTTTTTAAAAAAAGTAAATTAAGTGAGAAATTTATTATTAAAAGCATATAAGGTAGATAAGAATTTTGGATAGAAATTATTTGACTCCTAATATAGAATTGTATTATATAAGATGAAATAAAAATAGTATATATTTTTTTTTACTATAAACGATTCATATTTGTGCATGAATGTTTTGACTTGTTTGATCCTTCAAAACATCTTTTTTTTTAAATTGGTATATTAATTAATAAAGATAAATATGTAAACTATATCTCAGAAAATTTTATTCAGAATTACATTTAAGGATAAATATTTATTATTATTCTATTTCTATCTTTGAGGAATATTAAGAAAAAGTATTGATTCCACAAGGATTGAAAATACTATTTTAATTACCTAATAAGTATAAAAAAATATTGTATCATATAAAATGAAACAAATATAGTACATACTTTATTTTAATAAAAATAATTCATATTCGTGCATGAAATCTTTGACTTGTTTTTCATCCTTCAAAGCATAATTTTTTTCTCTTATAAAAAAGGTATATTAATTAAAAAGAAATAAATATATAGACTAGATACAATTCAGACAAAATATGATCTTGACCAACATTTTAGGGTGAATATTTATTATTCTCTCTTTCTGTCTTCGATGCTAATTAAGAAAAAATATTAATTCCACAATAAATTAGAAGGAAAAAGAAATACTATTTTGACTGTATAATAAGTTTGACCATAAAAGGTAACTTTGTTGAAATTTTAGTAACAAAATCCAAATATGACATGAATTTAATGACTTGATAATTGTTCAAGGTACTTGTTCACTATAAATACAGTTTTATGCTTTCTTTCAAACTATAACATACGACTTTAAGATTCATTCTCTTATCTTTCCTTGTATTAACCAAAGCCTTTTTTTTCTGTTTGGATGAATTTTTTGTTAAGAGGAAAAAGGAAATTGTACTTGTAATCAACAACATGCCGATCAAATGGTAACGATTTTGAATTTACTAGAAACATAACATTTTTGAAAGATTTTGGTGTGTATGCTTAAGTGTACAGTTTGCTACTTTGTTTGTTGTTAGGGTTTTGCGTTGGCAATCAAATGCAGGCACAACAGTCAATAGTCAAATACTGATAGAAGTATCTAATTGTACTGAGAGCATCAATGGTGTTAAAGAAGGAAGATGGAAAAATACTTTTACCTTCTATAAGCCCATACTCAAAGGTATTTCATTACTTAATAAATCATATGTAAACACAATATAACGGAATAATTTTGTTTTCTCTCGATGCATTACAAAGATTGGATTTGGGAAGTTTTTCTTCTTTTTAATTAATCTATAAAAAAGCGAAGAAGTATTGAAATAATTTGGGTCAAGAATAGATCTAAATGTAAGATAATCTATATATCTCGCATTTTTAACTTACACATCATGTCATTTTTAAGAGTACTTTTGTGTCCATATACGAGATTTGATTGCTGATTGAATTATTTTTTCTTTTACTAGAACAAGCAAATGCATCGGAATTTTCCCAAAAAATTTTGGGGGTTTCACTTCAAGAACAACCCAACAAGTTTTACATGGAACTTAGTAGGCAACGACTGGTTGTGAAAGCAGAGTCATCAATGCAGATGATAAAGGAGAACTTACAATCTTATAGAATGAAGGTTGCAGTTAATCGAGAGGTTTGTATTATTGAGATCTGCAAATTATTGTTCTTATTGTAAGTGGATGATATACTTATATAGCACCATCAAGAATTTTGTCTTCATAAACACTCATTAAAATATTTGACAGATATAGGGGTTTCAGTATCGACTTGGTGACTTCCGGCTGCGAGTAGGCAAAGCTATTCCAATAAATTCTGAGAACTTGAGGGGAATAGTTATGGAGGTATGCAAATACTTTCAGAGATTTATTCTCAATTGAAGCTTTTTATGTGGTTAAGCCTTTTTTTTATAAAAAAAACATAGCTACGTTATTATCATTTTTTACTCTTCATGGAGAGGAATTCAATTATTGTACTTTACCTAATTAAAAAAATGATTACTATTATGAGCATGCTTGCCTCATAAGATGTTTGTTTCTTTGTAGATGGAGTATCTTCCGATTTCCTCATGGAAAACATCACATTTAATTATGAGTGAATTCTTCGAGATATGGAAGGAAACTCTGGGGAAAAGATCATTACCGGGTCATTTTGTGCATGTTGAACCAAATTTTTCAGAGTTTGGCCTCTCTGATCAATACACTTCACAACACACAGTTGTACAATATGCTAGCATCTTGGCTCAAATGGCAACAACATCTCAATCATCACAAGCAACTAGAAATTAGAATGTTTTGTGGACATTATAAGATTTTTCTTTAGCTTCAAAAATGAGTTATTTATGTTCATTAATAAATTGGGAATATTCACATCAATAGTAAGCAATCTTAAAGCTAATATATGATTTCAGATCAATGTAATTTCTTTTCGTTTTAGTGGGTGAAATGGAAAGTTAAATGGTTTCTTTTGTTTGAAGAATTGTACTTAAGATTATATAGACTTTTAAGACAATGCAAGACAAGTTGGAACTTTAAAGTTTTGGAGAGTAGAACTTTATTGCACAAAAGGAAAAATGGTATATATGTTAATATTACTATATATAGGAAATTAAGGTATTGTAGATAATTTATTTAGAGAGGAGTTTTGGTAGTGCAGTTGGTTGGCTACATGAATGGGGTGGAGCAGGTAAAAACTTTTACCAAGTTATAAAGCACCATCGTAACCCCACCCTTGTATTCCTAATCACCACAAGTATAATGTTACGAGGCCTTTTCCTAGAGGATAGGTAATATGAAGCTAGACAAAGCAAATTTAGCTCATGATCATTTTTTAACTCAACGATTGTACCTTTGTCAAAACATATAGTAGGGGTTCAAACCAATAAGTATAATATAATTTTGCACCAAACATCGAGTTCAGTAAGTATTTTTGTATGATTGAACGTGTAATGATATTTGCCTTCAAATGAGCTTGTATAAAGTGGTTGGTAGTGATGTTGGTTGCCAATAGTGGTTGTGATAACAAAGGTGGTTGGTGATTGACAACAATAATGGTGATGGTTAGTGATTGTTGATAGAGTGGTAATGAATATTATCCACACAAGATATTAAGACTTTGTTCAAGATCTTAATGATTAATTAAATGCTTAAATCTTAATGATAACAAATGTACTCTATGACCTAAGGTCTAAACCATTCAGATTCAAACTTTCATTAAGTGTAGTACAATTATATATGAATGAACTAGCATTGGAACTACTAGAGGAACTAATACTCTTACGTCAAATTATAAATAATCAATATTTGATATGACTGTCTGTGCTTAATATGACAAATTGTATGTCAAACACTAATTGATGGGATGAAAAAAATAGAGAAATGGAGGGGTGTCAACTCCTATGATGAAATCTGATAGGTAGAACTGTATCAAATAACTTCACTTCCATAGCATAATATTTGGTAGGAAACTAGGAAACACAAGTCGAAAGCATAGATTGTTTATCGATAATAAAGAAGAGAATTAAGGTACTAATAGCTCTGAGGTTATTATTATGCAAGTACAAAAACTGTCTACTGATAATTCTTTAAGTCTGTTGTGATATAGGAAGTTCACTTCTTTTATGCCATGAAGCCAGTAGCCACACTTCTTATTTTTTGGGTGGAGTTTGAAGCTTCTCGCTTATGATGTATCCTAGCTGAGTCACAGCCTCCTTCAACTCCCATTTTACCTTTTTCTTTCTAGAATTGGGAAGGTGTGACTTCCATCTAAGTTGAATGTCCTTGAGCGTCATATCTCCAGTTAGCTTTTCACCGCAGCAAGCAACATCCACCTGCACAAAATGATATAAAGACGATTCAGTGGCAAAGCAGTACTGTGGCAATATTTCAACATATCTTCCTCTAGTATAAAACAAGAATTTGTTTCACTGTCCTATTTATGTTTGTTTCGTCTTTCTAATTCAAGATCATCAACTGTTTCAACATAGGTTCCTTTATCTATATTAAGTAAGCATTAGTATATATATTTCCTAATTATTGAATTTTTTATTACTAACTAGTTCAAGGAAACGCAAAATTTAGCTTATAAAATCATTACCTCAGTATGATCATTCAAATTTAGCTTATGTGCAATGAACTTCTGGATTAAAGTTACAGTGGCGCTATTGTCCCTGCAAATGATCAAAATCACTCATTTCATTTTACGTGGTGATGAGCATGAGATTTAAAAACATAGGGGGAAAATCAACGTTGCATGTGGAAAATCTTACTTGAGATGGATATTGGACCTGTCAAGGGGAGGCAATCTAAGTCCCTTCCTGCCAAGAGTAAAAGAACAAATAAAGTTATGTCAGATCAATGAGACAAGAACCTTCAGAGCGATGTGCCTGGTATATTGGTACTTACTTGCCTCCCTGTGGTACAAATTTAAACCAGAAAGAGGAAAGTTCTTTCTGTTTTTCGTCCAAAGCTTTGTTTTCTTGTGTTGAAGACTCTCTTTCTTCGGGACCAGTATCTTGCCTTTTCTCGCATGATTTTCTGTTCTTGCTCCTGTTTTTCTTCTTATGCACTTTGATATTGTCCACTATAATGGACTCTCCTATTTCAGCATTTGTTGTTGATACGCTCGAAGCAAGCTGAGGCATCTTCAAAGAAATATACTCTTATATTGAGGTTATGCAAAATATCTCTAACTAACAGTCAAAATATATGGAAGAATCATTTTTAAAACATGTATGCCAAAGAACTAACAACTACCTTAGCTGCAGACGCAGTTGAAGGGAAAGCTGAGGTTTCTTCTGATGACATGCGATGGTCCATTAGAGAAATTTTGTGTCCTCTGTGTTGCCTGCATGCACTATGTAGATTAAAATGAATCACGTATCTTTGTAAGGAAACTGATTCAAAGTTGAAGTGGCTCCCCCATTCACTATATATGTCTGTAATTTCATACATAAAGAGGTAGATTAAAAACCCATCGATCTCCTTACCGCTTCATGGGGGTCTTCATTCACTCTTCTCTTACTTTCCCTACTTCTAGAAAAAAATTGTTGAACAAAAACGATCTTTCTAAAGTTAAAGGTTAGGGTTCTCATGTTTCATGATATTTGTAAATCTAATTAGGATAATTAATTTAACTTAGTTGATGAGAAATTAGAAAACAATTAAGATTAGAGTAAAACTACTTCACTGAAACTTATTTTTTGGAACCAAAGAGCTTTTAGAGCTCACTCAATAGGTTTCATTGAACAAGAATATAACTAATATTGCTAGCAAGAAGGAATGCATTGAATGATTGACTGATTTGCACCTAAGGGCATGAATACCAAGGTTCGAATCCCAGCGAGAAAAAAATATAGGGTGAACCTAGGTGGATAAAATTACCTAGTAACTATGCTGGTGAGATATAGAAGGTACTCTGTGAAATGGTCAAGGTGTGCACAAACTAACCCGAACACCAATAGTTTTTTTTAAAAAAATGAACTATCGAGAAAAGCTCTAAACCTAACCTAAGTTGATCTGTCGCTTGAACAAAAAAGGAAAAAATCAAGGATATTTTTTTTTGATATATTAAGAGAAGGTCAAACCTACCCTATGTTGAATCTATCACTTGAGCAACAAAGGAAAAATCGATTAAAAATTTGATCTATCGAGAAAATACTACATCAAACTAAGTTGAATCTGTCACTTGAGCACTAAAAGGTAAATCAATAAAAAAAGATTTATTCAGAGAAACTCAAACCTAACCTTATTTGAATCTGCCACTTGAGCAGAAAAGGAAAATCAATAAAAATATTGATTTTTTGGGAAAAGTTCAAACCTAACCTAATTTGAATTTGTAACTTGAGTAGCAAAGGAAAAATCAATTAGAAATTGATAAGCTCATACCGAACTTAAGTTGAATCGGTCACTTGAGTGACAGAAAAAATCAATAAAATACTGATCTATGAAAAAAAGCTCATGACTAACCTGAGTTGAATCCTTGAAAACCAAAGAAAACATCAATAGTGAGTAGAGCCGTCAATTAGGGTTAAGTCTGGCTCAACTCGTGAATAGGATTGGACTAAGATTTTTAGAGGCCATTTAAAAATAGGGCTCTTAAGCCCAACTTGAATAAGCCCATTAGACTCTAGGCTTGAACAATATGAGTTGGGCCAGCCCGTGGGCCAAATAAAAAATTAATTAAAAATTAAAATAAAATAGAATATTAAAACTAACAAGAGGAATCTAAACTTAAAGTCTTAAACCATGCATATAAATATCACAAATTTTAAATATTCAAATATAAAATTACATTTTTTTTATGATTCTTCATTATTTTCTTCTTATTTTTACTTGGGTTTGATGTGCTTGAGCCGAGGGTCTTTCGGAAACAACTTATCTATCTACATGATGTAGTGATAAGGTCTACGTAGACTCTACCCTCCATAGACCTCACTCAGTGAAGTTTCACTAGCATGCTGTTGTTGTTGTTATACCTATGATCTTTACAAAAAATGACAATAATTTCATATTGTAGTCATACAACCAAAATTTTACTTGAAGCCAAACGTAATGTATTATTAAAATTATTTTATTTGTGAATGTGAGAATTGGTCAACAAGAAGTAATACCATGTAATAATATCTTGTCATATTTCTGTTAACATTTTAAAATTAGAATTTAAATTATTTTTTATTATTTTTAAAAAGTGGGCTAGCCCGGTGCGGCCTTAGCCCACGTAGTTGTGGTTGGACTGACTATTTTTTGGCCCGCCAAAATAATGGACCATCCCGACCTGACCTGTAAAGTTTTAAAGCATGTAAAGGCTACCCATAATGGGATGGACCGGCCCGTATTGACAGCTCTACTAGTGAGTAGCAAATCTGAAAGAGAAATGTGTATCTAATGAAAAATCATGCAGAAAGAGAGGGAGGGAGAGAGAGAGAGAGAGGGGGTGAGGGGGCAGGGGGGAGATTCTTACCAAGTGAAGGAAGTTCTTGTTTAAGAAAAGCACTTCCCTTGAATGACTAGGCAGAAATGGTGTTGTGGGGGGGAGTGTAATTTGATTATATATGAGAAAGTGTTAGGTCTAAGGTTTCACATACTAATTTTGGATGATAACAAATTGACTTAATTTAATAAAAGAACATTTACTTGTTGTAAATTTGTTTTTGGTGAAGAATTATTTAATGAAGAAGAATTTGGTGAAGATCTAAACAAATATAGAAAGGAAGATATTATGAGATGGAATTTCAAGAGAAGATACCTAAGGAAGAAAATAACTTTCCCAAATCAAGATACAAAAATCA